AATACAATTTAAAACTAGAATTACTGTGAATAAAATGCTAATCCCCTTTTCATCTGAATAATTAGACATTTTCATCTTTAGAATGCTTTGCAAATATTACCTACTTAAATCTTTGCAAACACCCCATGCTATTAGCAAGCAGTACTCTGTTTTACACAGGAGGAAAATGAGGCAGAGGTTAAAAGTGACGTTGCCCAAAGCTACAAAGCAAGACAGTGTCAGAACCTGGTTTAGAACTCCCGAATTTCTGTTGTGCAGAGGTATTCTCAAAACACAGGAACACACCTCCGTTTCAAATGTTCAAGTCCTGTGCGCAGAAGCAGACCTGAATGCCCACTGCAAGGTTAATTAATATTTGAATATTTTACATAAATATATTTGTGGGTTTATTGGATTTCTAAATTACAAATGTAGTTGGTCTCTAGCTACTGTTTCCAGTATTTTTTATTCTCCATAGGATTTTCATTTCCTCACTTTTTAGCCACTCAAATCACACAAATGCAATATCTTTACAGACTGCACAAACTAACTTCATTAAATGGGTGCTGAATGTTGCATGTATGGATCGTGTGGTGTCACAGAACTTGCATCCTATGGTTAAGGCTTCTGATGGGGGAGACTCAAATTAACAGCAGTTATTCTTGTATAATTAATTGTTTAAAATAAACACCTTGTAGAATATCAGATGTAGATTTTTTGGGGAGGGATTTAATAGTGGTAAGTACTATGGCAAATAATTTTCTCAAATGTATATTTAAAAGATCCATGTTAATTTAAAATGAGAAATTCTGGTGGAGCAGGGACCATCTTTTTTCTGTGTCCGTATAGTGCCTAGCACAATAGAGTCGTAGGCCATGACTAGGTCTCCTAGGCATTATGGTAATATAGAGAATGGTATAGAACAAGGCTCTTTCTAATCCAAAAAGCAGGGACCATATGAGCTTTGGCAGTCTAAGTATTCCCATGGTACTCTGCTAATGTACCCACAGCTGTTATCTAGAACAACTTCTAAGTTTGAGAGAGAATTTAGTTTCCATGTCCATTCAGTCCCTGTTCTTTGCCAAGGCTGCCAAAAAAGGTGCAATTTGTGAAGTAGTTTTTATGATGTGGATACCTGTTCACTAGGAAGCTGACCAAGACATCTCACATCTGTTAAAGCTCCCCCCCATGGTAAAGAACCTCAACTAGATTTGAAGAAATCTTATACAGAAGTTGGAGCAGTTTTACAACGGTGGTGTAATTTGCATGTTTCTGTATTCTCTTTTACCTATTGAGTCAATTTTTGACAAGAATATCTAGTCATCTAGTTTGTGTATTCATTAATAACGGGATATAAAAAATACAGAAACAAGTATACCATAGCTACTATACTCCCAACTTTCTACCTTTGATATTAGAGTTGAGAGTTTGGACACCCTCTCACGTTGTCAGAATAAAATGCAGGCCTCTTTTAGATACATGTGGTGTGAAGCAAAGCTGGAATCCTGGGCTGTTAATCACTAACACAACAGAGCAAGTGAATCTTTTCTGGTCATTACTCCTTTGTTCTTTCTGAATAGTGCAATACCAAATCAATAGGAATGCAGCTTATAGAATGGAAAAGAACTATCAGAAGGGGGCAACAGTCTAGTTAAAACACTCAACTTCGTAAACACACTCCTGGAGAAATCAGTTTTATGTTTTGGGATACCAAAACCACAGAAAAAATATTTATCTATGATATTCGGAAGATGTAAGCTACAGAATCTACCCTTTGAGGTAAGGGTTTTCCACTTCTAGATGTTTATTATTTTAATTACTATTTAGGAAAAAGGTATGTTCCCTTAGCTCCTTCAAAATGAGTTATACAGTAAAGCTCTCTTTCGTGCCCACTTTGTTAACATTTTGGCTTTTCCCAAGCTCAGTCTTCAGCAAAGTATTAGTAGAACTTAGACATGAATTCATATACCAAGTTTAAATTGGTTCTTTGAGAGGTTGCTTTTGCATAGTTCAAAGTTTGCCTGAGGGCTTCTCCATCTTCAGTTTAGGGAATGAACAGGCTGTTTTGCAATTCATGTCAAAAAACTCTTACTAGGATAGCCTCAAGCCCTTTCTGTGAACATTGGAGTGAAAGAACATTCTCCAACGTGAGGTCTTGTTTTTCAGATCTCATTAATTTCATAGCAAGGGATGTAATATAAAGAACACGTGTGAGAGCCTCAATCCTCAAGTAGATACATGCTTTTGTCACATGACGAACTCTAAAGCTTTAATCCAGCACTTGCAAGTTTTCTCCTCAGTGAATCTGGTATGTAAAGCAAGCGTATGAAGGCCTAAAACATTAAAGAAGTGAAAGGGAAAAAGCTCACTATTTCTTTTTACCAGCTGCAGCTCACCTTGAGTAACTATTATGAGTAAAAAGATGTTGGGGGAAAAGAAATGGCACAATAATGATAGGCTTGCAGTTGACCAATAAGTATCAACTGAGGGCAACAGAGTGGAAAGGGAAGTTTATTTTCTCACTGAATTATTCATTGGTCCAGTAATGACTCTTGAATAGATAAATTAAGACAGTCACTACACAAGGATTTTATAAGTTTATACAAATACTGACATTTTTACCCATTGTACCACTTTTTTGATTTGACATTACACACAATACATTCCATTATAGCACAGCCCATTCCCAGCCAGTTGTGAAAAGCAAATGGCAGGCAGCAGACCAATCCTGACAACCTGCAAATAAGCTGTCCCCCCCCCCCCCTTTTTTTTTTTGAACATTTAACTAGTTCTAAAGCAGTCAAGATATATATTGCTGGATTGATAAATGAAGCTTTGGTTAGAATTCTGTTGATATCAATGACCAAGAATTTTGCTCATTTCACAGTCTAGTAGCTCCTTAACAGTCACAAATTAAGAGATGCACTCATTCAGATAAGGCACGGATGTGAAAGACACTGCGTTTTTAATACTGTACTCCCTTATAAATGCTGCGGAAGCAGAACTTTTGGTGGAAAGACATACATTGTTTACAGATCATTTGCCTAAGTTGGTTCTCTAGACAATTCTTATCTTTACTGCTGGCACAAGGGATACGAGAGACAACCCCTGTCTTCTTAATTAATCTGCTGAGAGATCAATGACCACCTGCAACATTCATTTGGAACCAATGCCTTTGTTACTATAGTCAAGCTGGATACTGACTAAAAGATGTGCATTTTACTTATAGTAATTATTCCAGTCAGCCTCTGAAAGGCTTCCATTCATTGAGGTTATGTATGATTTTCTTTCTTGCCACCAAATCTAGGAGAAAACCTGACAGTTTTCATCTCTTTTAGGAGCTCACTACCCTTACAGAATGATTCAAAAACTCTAGCAATTGCACATCAAAACAAAAATCAAAAGAAAGGAATTTAAAGATCATCTTTATGCATAATAGAGGAGCAGTAAAGCGCACGAGAACATCTTTACTTTACAGTTTCTCTAAGTATTCGTTCTATAATCCTGGTTAACACACTGGAAAGTGACTAGTTTTAGCAGGAAATTCGGTTTCAAAATTACATGAGCATGAATTACAGTTCTTGATAAACCTCTAAAGATAGATGGCACTCAATTCTTCTAGTGAAAGGAGAACTTTGGTTCAAATTAACTTTTTAATTCTATTAGTTACAGTAATCTGAATAAATTACAAAAGCTCATTAGTGAAGAAAATCCAACTAAGGTCTACTTCAGAAATAACATCTCATAAGAACAAGATCATTGGATGATGTCAACAGGTAAATTTAACTTTCCACAATTATATCTGAAGTTGTCCTAGAGCAATGTCAAGTTTGGGAGCTGCTCTAAGTCTCTTGTTCCTTAGGAGGATAATGTTGTTGAGATGTTCAGAGCCTTTGGTGGGTTAAAGGGTATTTACCGATACAAAGATAAACAGATTGAGAAGACACTTTTCTACTCTCCGAAGTTAGCGATCATGATCATGCAAATTAAACTCAAAATGAAGTAATACTCTAGAGCCTTACGCTTCCCACAGTGAAAATTTATACTCTAGTTGTTTCATTTGCAAAGCAGAGGAGCCTCTACCCATGTAGGGGAAGAAAAAAAAGTCTGGCAATAGACCCTTCTGTGCTAAGTTGCAAAAACACACCTATGAAGCTATGTAATTATAATTGCTGATTTAAGCACAAAGACAACTTCCATAATATTTTTAATTCAAAAACAAATGTAGTCAGTGGCTGGGTACATGCTACAGATCTACATTTCAGCTTCTGTTTTAAGTGCACAATTGGCACTTCATAGAATTTCATTTGGACAAGCATTGTCACTAGTCACAAAATAGAAGAGAAAGTTGCCAGTCTAAAAACCCCAAGATTTTCCATAGCTGTTAAGTTAGAGCAGTTAAACTAAAATATCAATCAGCAAGACAAAATATAGCTGTAAACTATGCTACTGAATTTGTTCCATTGTGGATCCATTTAGATTTAAAGTAGCTTGAATTTATCAGGAAAAAACAGACTTTTAACAACTAATTTTGTAAAAGCCATGTGTTAACTTTTGTTAGAGGAGGTAGCCTACAAGTTGTTAGATCTGAAAAAAATACAGGTCTATTCTGGCTGTAAACACTGCTAGAGCAGTAGATATAAATATCCATAATAAAAAGTAGTGTGGAAGAAGTTGTTCTAGGGGAAAAAAAACAAAACAAAACAGGTAAAATTATCTGAGCTTCAAAAGGAAAAACAGTAGAAACATTTAGTACATTTACTCATCTGTGTAGTTTAAATGATATAGAACTGAAGATTAATATATTACAAATCCACATACAATAAAAAAGTGTTAGCTGTATAAATTCACCAGTCTGTTGACATTTGCAATAAGCATTTATCCAAACAAATTCAGGTGTTTTTATATGCTAGTTATGTCATATACATCTGATGATTCTCCAAAGAACAGATATAGTGGAAATATTGACTTGATTTTTTAAAAAAATGTGCAAATGCTTCACAAATGAGTTTTATACAATGTGAACCCCTGATTTTTATAGCAGTTTTTAATGTCTTGATTTGTTGATTCTAATAGATATATTTTGTATCTTAATAAATTGGCTTTTTCAAACATTAGTAATTAAGGCATCTTGCTGTATACAGTTTCTCAATAGTGCAAACAAAACCATCTTTAATAATTTGATTAAAACAAGATACTAAAACATTTCAAAGTTTTTTCAACATAACTGGAAAATAGCTGCACATTTAAACTTTTCTTGTGAAACAGTTTAAAACCCTCTTATGGCGGCGATTGGTCTTATTGGTTCCTTATAACTGGTTCTGCAGTTTTGTCTTCACGATGGCAGAATTTATATTCCTTTATGCAATATCGCAGTGAAACACAGCAGCACTTAAAATGACTTTACCAAGTAACTGAACAAATCCCAAATACAGCAAAGGCATATAGTTTTCATAGTACACTTTCACCTCACTGAAGTAAAAGCTGCTCCTATCAGGCATTTTTCCACTTCAATGTGAAGTAGATTGTTAGGATTTTGTTAGTGGTTTCATTAAACAGTTTTTGAAAGTCCATTCCTCTTCTGCCAACAGTTTTTAGAAGAGATATTTTGGAAATAGAGTATAAATCCATGGATATTTAAAAGGATTATTTAGCCAAATATGCACTCCTCAGTTCTCCAAGCATCTCAGTGTAGCTGTAATAAATAAGCACCTACATCCTGAAAAGGAGAAAGAAGAAAAAAGTTTGTCACATTAATTCAGTGCTGAAATAAAAAATGCATAAGGTAGGATGCATATTGTAATCATTTCAAAGTATACTACAAAGATATTGTAATTTGCACTGCAGTAGTGCCTAAGAGCTCTAGTCATGGGCCAGGAGCCCTTTGTGTAAGGTTCTATACAAACACAGAACAAGTAAAAGTAAGGCCCCAGTTTATGACTATTTCAAAGTAAAGTACAGGCAGGATCCTGTCTGCTGAAAAGCACATTGGACCAAATTCCACAGAACATTAATGTGGTCTATTTCCCTTCTCCCCCATGCACACTCACATCTATGGCACATAGCTGAAAATACTCATGATGTAAAATTACTAGACTATTTTCAACAATATTTTTCTTCTGCTATGTTCTCCAGGCATCCTGGCTCCACTCCCTAGGTGTCTGCTCCCCAGTGTTGTACAGGTGGGCTAAGAACTTCCTGCTCCCCGCACGTGGCACAGAAAGGGGATGTGTTTGTAGCCAGCTTCAATGGCTCATCTTTGGACTTCAGTTACTGAGCTGCTCTTCAGTTAGCTCAGCTGACCAGCTTAACTTTTTTTTGCCTCCCACCGCTTCAGGGCTGCAATTTGGACTCCGGTTCTGCCTCCTTGACCCCCTACTGCCTGGCTACATGGAACACTGCAGGGAGCATGCACTCCTTGTGGGGAAAGCTGGAGTGCAGCTACAGGCAGGTCCCAGCAGAGCAGGAAGACGTAAGATATCAGGAGTCTGGATGCAGCAAAACGGCAAATTCCTTAATCATGGAATTGTAGAGTTCACAAGGCTCCAACTGAGATAAATGAGATAGGTCATAGCCTAACATAATAGCTTTAGGGGTATCTGCAGACTCGTGAAGACAACACTGAACTGATTTACGCTCTGGTCCTTTATGGTTGCCAAGATAATTTTGGAAACATTAAGTTTAAAAAAAAAAAAAAAAAGTAGCTTCTGGAACACAATTTTATGACAGAGATGAATTCTACAAAGGGTCCTGACTACAAGCAAACACCAACACTGCTTCCTCACAATAAAACGCATATTCTTTTGTAAAAAGTAGTCACTGCATCTCCATTTTTTCCACTCCAATGAACAGGCAGCTAGTGAAAAGTTGTTTGGTGGGTGGGGTAAGTACTATATGAAAAGCTCACAGCTATGCATTTCTAAATATTAGTCAGTGCAAACTTCCTCCCCTCCCAGGTTTGTCCTCTTACCCTCTTTCTTGGGTTCAGAAATCTCTCCTTCACTCCATTGCTCAAATCATGCAGCTGAGCCAATGCCTACCCTCCCTCCTTTCCCATACTGGATCCATGTCAGAGCTCTCCTGGGAAGAGGGCTTTGCCTAAGTGCAGCCCTGTGGGTCACAAATTGGTTTGTGTGAGGAGTACATGGTCCTACAGCTCTGACTGCAAAGAGCAGCACCCGCAGAATTGTGTGCGCAGGCACTTGTCCCCTCAGTGGGCCTGTCACTGCACTAGGGTGAAGAGTTGCAATGAACAAGCAGCAGGGGAAGGCAGATATTTAGCTTGCTTTAGAAAGCTGTGGGCTGCTTTCCCCAGCCCTGAAACATTTTAACTATCAAGCTTGCTACCCTCTCTTTGTCCAAACCCAAAGATGCAGCAGGTATTTAAGATGCTCTACCCTGCAGTACACATATATTGGTATGTCAATATTTAGAAAAATCTCTCTCCTTTCCTGTTCTACCTACTTATCTAGGTTTTTCTACTGCACTCATAATATCCAAGTGCCTTACTAGTATCAGATAAAAAACCCCAACATATCTTTCTCTCCCCAATTGGGAGGAATTATTTTTTCCTTTGTAAATAAAATGTTTATGGGAAAGCCAAACTAGATCCCCATGTCATTGCTAATAGATGAAACTGTAAAGCAGACATTTGAGATTTCTCCAAACGAACTTTTCTGATTTATATGAACATTAAATGAAAAATATTTCAAGATTCTACATCCTATAACACTTGTGGGATGCATACAAATTTGATGTCAAGTTAGATGGATATTCAGTGTTACATTGATTACTGAACATTACTGGAAACAAATTACCTTAGCTATATTACCAGTATATCCTGGAACCAGAGTTAGATGATTTTCTTGTTCCCACAATCCACTTAATTGTTGTTTTAAAATCTGAATATTTCTGGAAGAGAAATGTAGACACTCAGTCACAAGTGCACTTTGTATTTATCTGAATATCACTCTGGTAACAAGTGTTTTACGGTAGATATGCCCTTAGAAGCCTCGGTAATAGAGACTGTTATTCTACATCACATTACTGGCAATATCAAGGCAGAATGTAGACTTCTGAACTTATTGTTTAAAGTGAAGTTCACCAGTTTTTGTATTATTTTCATTTTTTGTAGGAGTTTTGCATTTATTAAGACTGCAATATAAAATCACTGAGAACCTTTACAAAAGGAAAGTTTTGAAGAACACTGCTTGCTTCACAAAAATAAAGTAACTTATTTTTAAAAGTCAGACAAAGTAATTAGAACATGCAATATTGTGCAGGAGTAAGATTTACAAAACACGTAAGAGGAGGTTACTTACTGTAACTGGACGTTCAAGATGTATGGCCGCTATCTGCATTCTACATGTGGGTGCGCATGAGCGCCATGCGCCTGAGTCCAGAAGTTTTCTCCAAGCAGTGTCCGTTGACCCGCACATAAGCGGTATGTCTCCTTGTGTTCCTGACCAAGGGCACAAGGGGCACCGCGGGCCGACGCCACTCCAGTTCCTCCCTTCACCGCAGTGTAGTCAAGTCCGAAGCAGAGGGGAAGGAGGAGGGCAGGTAGCAGAATACAGATAGGGACCACACATCACAAACAACTTCCACTTACAAGAAGTAACCGCCTCTTCTTTGAGTGATGGTCCCTATGTGTACTCCACATGTGGGTGACTTGTGAGCAATGATCAGGATGGCATTGGGTGTGAGGAGGCTGATAGTAGAGCCATTTGCAATATAGCTCATCCCATGGCTATGTCCGTGGCTACCATGTGATCCAGGGTATAGTGTGTTGTAAACGTGTGTACAGAACACCACGTTGTGGCTTTGCCATGGAATGACAGCTAACGAAGCCAATGAAGTGGCCTGTGCCCATACAGTATGAGCTGTAACACCTCCAGAGGGTGGGAGAGGGTTGATATTTTGTAGCATACCAGGATGCAGCCTGAGACCCACTTAGAGATCCTCTGTGAGGATATGGCTTGCCCCTTGATCTTGCCGCCATGGCCACAAAGTCTTGGTGACTTTCGAAAGGGTTTAGTACTTTGTAGGTAGAACATCAGGGCCTGTCTGACTTTGAGGGAGTGTAATCTCTTGTTTGTGGGGAGCCATGTGTTTTTGGGCAGAATACAGGTAAGTGGATAAACTGGTTGAGATGGAATTCTGACACAATCGTGGGGAGAAGTTTGGGGTGTAGTCTCAATGAAAGTTTGTCTTTGTGGAAGATCATTTAGGGAGGATCTGCCATCATGGATGCTAGTTCACTGACCCTTCTGACTCAAGTGATGGCAACCAGCCAGGAATGCCACTTTCATTGAAAGGTGGGTCATGGTACAGGTTGCCCAAGGTTTGAAAGGTGGTCTTGAGAAAGCCGAGAGGACGAGGTTAAGGTTGCCAAATCCACACCTCAGTGGGACCGGTGAAATTTTGAGCAGGTCTTTCATGAATCATACCATCATAGGGTGTGTAAAGATCGAGTATCTGTCCACTGGGGGAAGGGGAGAAAGGAAGGTGCTAGGTGCCTCCAAGTGCACATGGATCAAGCTGAGAGCTAAGCCCAATGTTTTCAGGGCAAGGAGGTAATCTAGAATGACCTGTCTGGGGAATGGTGGTGTCAGTGGGCTCACTCCAGAAAGTGACACCACTTCGCCTGATATGTTCTGGTGGATAATTTTCTGCTCTGGTTAAGGATCTGCTGGATCCGGGCAGAATATGCACAGTCTATGTCAGATGCTCATCCAAACACCAGACTGTGAGGTGATGTTTGAGCCTGCCCTGGTCTTGCGTGAAGATTCGGGAACAACCGGAGCCTGAATGATGGTTGGGTAGAGAGCTTCAGGAAGTCTGTGAACCAGAACTGTCAGGGACAGTAGAGTGGTATGAGGATGATGGTGGCTCTGTCCCGACACACCTTCCTGAGAACTTGAGGCAACAGGGGAAAAGGAGGGAAGGCATATCTGAGGTTGCCCATCTCAAGGCGATGCTCTCCTGATCCCGTAGAGTCTCTTCCCATGGTGCCCCTGAAGCAATACTTAGGGAGCTTCTGATTCACATATGACAGAAAGAGGTCCTAGGTGGGGGTACCCCACCATGTGAAGAGGGTGGTCCGTGTAGTTCCTATTGTGGAGAGTCCTGCTCAGTGCTTCTGCCAGGGAATTCTGGGTGCCTGGAAGATAGCCTGTATGGTCACCTGGTTTCTGATGCACCAATTCCACAGTCTGACCGACTCTGAGCAGAGGGAATGAGACTTGGCCTCCTCCTGCCCCCTGCTTGTTGATTCAGACCACTGTGGCAATGTTGTCTGAAAGGATTTGTATGTGGAGATCATGTATGAGGGAAAGGAAGGCTTTGCAGGAAAGACGGACTACCCTGAGTAGCCTGGCTTCCCTCAGTGTCCACGTGACCTGCACCATGCGGTGGTCCAGGTGGGCACCCCATCCTGGAAGGGAGGCATCTGTCATGATGGTGGCCTTCGGAGTGGGAGGGTTGAAGGGGAACCTGATCATGACCTTGATGGATTGGATCACCAAACAAGAGAGATCAGAACATCCAACGGAACAGTGACTCTGGAGTCGATGTGGTCCCTGGTTAGCTTGTAGGTCAGGTGGAGCCAGGTCTGTAGACACCACAGGCGGAGTCTTGCGAGGGGCGTCATTTGGGTGCAGGCTGCCATGTGCCCCAAGAGAGAGGCATTAGCGGACTATTGTGTGGGGTTTGCTGCAAATGTAGGCAATCAGGGTGCTCATCCTTGCAAAGCAATTTGCCAGGACGAAGGCCCATGCAGCAACTAAGTCCAGTCTCCAATAAAATGTATTGTCTGCATGGGTGACAAAACGGACTGTCTTCATTCACACAGATCCCTAGGGAGGCCAAGAGTCTTTGAAGAGATTGGATCATGGAGAAAAACTGTTGTCACAAATGTCCCACTAGAAGCTAATCATCCAGGTAAGGCAGTGGTTCCCAAACTTTAATAGCCCGCGAACCCCTTTCACTAAATTGTGAAATCTCGTGAACCCCCTCCTAAAAATGAATATTTTCAGGGATTTAAATTTAAATTTCCTCAGCGTGATGGATGCCCCAACTGCCCAGCCCTGCGAGGAGCGCTGGGGTTCGGGCTGCCGGCTCCCCCGCTGATGGGGGCGGGGCTCGGGCTGCCAGCCCCAACTGCCTGGCCCCGCTCTCCCTGGGGCTTGGGGTGTCTGCCCTGCAACTGGGTCCCACCTGCTGTCTCCAATACCTGGGGTCCTCTGTTCGCCATTAGTGAAATTTTTCTGGCGAACCCCCTGTAACGTTCTGCGAACCCCAGTTTGGGAACCACTGAGGTAAGGGAATACCATGTGATACTAGCATCTCATCTGAGCCGCTATGACCGCAAATACCTTCGTAAAGACCCATGGTGCGGTCACTATTCTGAAGGGAAGGATGCAAAACTGATAGTGTTGACGTCCCACCATGAAACGAAGCAATTTCCTGTGACACAGACGGATGTCTATATGAAAGTGTGCATCTCACGTAGAGAGCAGTGAACCAAGCTCCCTCCTGGAGGGAGGAGATTATCGATGATAATATAATCATGCGGAATTTCAGCTTTCCGATTAATGTCTTTAGCTGATGAAGGTCCAGGATTGGTCTCTGCCCTCTGCTTTTTTTTCAGGATGAAGAAATATGGTGCGTAGAATCACCTTTCTTTGCATTAAGTGGGACACCCTCTATCACACCCTGTTTCCTGCTGAAGAATCAATTAGCCACGAATCTCTGCGCAGCACTAGTCCAGTGGCCAAGGAATGGGAAGCAATGTTGGCTGGCATCCACTGCTGTCTGGAGGGTCACCTTTGCCACCTGTCTCCCCATATCCACTAGGGCCTGGAACTGGGCCTGGTCCCACACAGGGAACTTGTCCCTAAACTCTGCTAGCCTGCCATACGTGTTGAAGTTGTACTTAGCTAGCACAGCCTGGTAGTTCACTATGTGGAATTGCAGACCTGCTGATGAAAAGGCCTTTCTGCCCAGGAGGAGTAATCTGGAGTTCCTGGGGCTGGAGGATGTCCAGGAGATGATGTTGAGGGTCCTGGACTTCCTCCAGCAGAATCTGCAAGTTGGTAGCCACCCGTGCAGGTGTTCATAATACTGCTGATCATCTGGTAGAGAGAGTGACAGAGGGATGACTGCCTCAACTAATGATGAGGCGGCTCTGGTTGGAACCAGCGATACCGGTTCCACGTCTTCCTCCTCAAACTGACAGAGCCAGCTGATGTGTGTGAGAGGAACGATAAGAACCTTGAAATGTGCTGGGAATACGTAGTACAGGTCCCAGGGGTTCCCGTATGGCCAGAACAAGCGGTCCATTGGTCTGGGTGGGCCCATGGGGAAGCAATACCAGGCTTCCCTCGGGGGGCCTAGACGGGTGGGTAGGGGTGCCTCAGATGCCTGTTGAGGCTCCTGTGAGGCGAAGGCAAAACTAGCTGGGCTACGTCCTGGAATTCCTCAGAGTCGGATGACGGTTCCATTGGAAATGGCAGGATTGTTGGTACCGGAAGGTCCCAGTCTGATGAACATGGAAGGGGCCTTTCCTGCAGCAGGAGCAGCGGTTTGTCCTCTGGTGTGGGGATGTCCTGGAGAATGGATGGGCCTGAGAGGAGTGGGGACTGCAGGTATGGCAGGAACACCGCCTCTGGAGATAAGAACATCTCTGAGTCTGCGGAGTGCCCATGGAGACCCCGGAGGGAACCCAGTTCCATAGTCAGGTCTGTTCTGTGTGTGTGGTGACGAAGTGGCACTGATGGAGTATCCAGAGCTGCAATAATAGATGGGCACGCTAAGTGTCCTGGTACTGAGGCCACTGGTGGTACTGAGAGATCCTGCTTCTTCTTAGTCTTACCCTCTGGCCGGGTGAGGGGTGGTCTTTGGCATCGGTTCTGCAGGATCTGCTTGTGACATCTCACCTGACCTGTAACAGCTCAGGGAGGGAATGCGTCTCTTATGGGCTGTCTGCTGTGGGGATCTGCTGTTGTGCCCATGAGAGTGTTTCTTCTTCTTGTGGTGGGACGTGTCCTTACTCATCAGTGTTGGTAGTTCTGCACCATGGCTTGTGCTCAGCGGGGCACTGCTGGGCTGTGGAGGCTGCTGGTCTGGAGGGTCTCCTTGGCCAGGATTTGAGTGCGTCTGTGGCCTCATTGCCTCTTCCAGCAGGAACTTGCCGAGACGGAGATCAAAGGCCTCTTAAGTTCTGGGCAGGAAGGACTTATAGATGATACACTTTGCCAAGATGTGTGCTTCTCCCAGACAGTATAGGCACTGTTGATGCTCGTCACTGATGGAGAAGGAACAAGGACAGGAGACGCAGTTCTTGAAGCCTGGGATCCTAGACATAGTCTCTGGATGAGAAGGGGTTGAGTCTCCCGACTGGGGAAGAGTTATATTAAACTATTCACTATATTACAACCATAAATAACTATATTAACTATCCTAAGTATAAAACTATTTACAAACAGTGAAAGGCAACTCTCTTATCTGGATAAGAGCAAAGGAGGAATACAGGTTTTGACTCAGGTCATGCGGCAGTAAGAGCAAACTGGAGTGATGTTGACTTGCACTGCCCCTTATACCCTCGGTCAGGAGCACAAGGAGATGTACCGCACAGGTGCAGGTCACTGGACACTGCTTGGAGAAAGCTTCCGGACACAGGCGCATGGTGTACATGCATACCCACGTGCGGAATACACATAGGGATCATCACTTGAAGAAGTGAAGTTTTTACTTTTAGGTTATCATATGTTGCCTGAAGCTTTTTCATTTTGGGAGAACACATATCTGAGCCCTTGTAATCATGGGACAAAACAGTCTAAATAAATTTAATGCAGCTTATGAATAACTACACAACTACAGTAATGAGTGACAATACACGATATCATACTCACCCATCTTTTACTTTTTCCATGTGTGCAGACAGTTCTGACCACCATCTCTTAATGACAGCTAGGAGCCAGTTTAGACCAACTATCACGTATCTGTAACAACATATTTAGATATTATGTACCTACCCCCACTTTGGTGCAGATAGATGCCATATCCACCAACTGAAAGGAGAGGTAAACAGACTCCCTTTTACTTGAGGGTTAACTAAAAGATTAGATAGGATAAAGCTCAGAAGGTGGCACAACACAATTGGAAAATCATGAAGGAAAATAATTTCACATTTTAATTCCTTTATGTATTTTCTATTTTGAAATGCTGAGGCAAGCTCACATAATAAAGGATGTTAAGATGTTCTGAATCAGAATGTTCTGTCAGTGAGTCTCATACCTTGGAATCAAGACTTTGGTGCCGGGTCTACAAGATTTTAGTATTTGTGATTAAATTTTGAAACAAGGGCAAAGACAGCTTCCTCCTCTACAGCTGTGGAGAACCCTTGGCTAAAACAAACAAAAAACTGCACTTTTTGCACCACTTGGTGACTGGGCCTGGAGGAAATGGGGATAGGGATTTACACCAGAAGAGTAATCCCTGCAGAGAGCTTCCTGCACGGAAGCAGTGGGGAAGTGAACAGCGGGAGGATCCACTACTATGCAGGGATACTTCTATGGGGGAGTTGATGGAAAGAAAAATGTATCAGTGCCCATGAAGACTACTTTACTCACTTTGGATTGGAGTAGGAGTTCATGACCAAGAATCTTGTGGGGAATGATTCTTTTGAACCATTCTGAAGGTTCTGATATAAAGAATTAAGATGGTGATTCATTTTGATACTTACTCTTCATATTTGCTTTTAAGCAGTGATTTTACTAAAGGAAATAGATCTACACAGCAGCCAACTGAAATATATGGTTTTTCTTCCTGTAAACTAAAATAAAGTAGTGTTAAAGTACATGAACTTGGATCAATTCATTTGAACCCTGTTCAAACTCCCTCCTCCTGAAAGGTTTTTTTTTTTTTTTTTACCTGCTGGTAAGTACAGGAAGGCAATCTACTACTACGCCAAGATCCTGTATCCTAGAGACATTAAGGAAAAATAGGTTAGATTACTAGTTGATTATGTTACACTGTGTAATTCCACTAGGATTAATTTTTAAAAACATCAGGAATTGTAGCTAAATTACAAGTTGTTTCAAGTTAAGAAAGTTTACAGTGCTGCAGCAGCCTTGGGATAGCTACTGCATTGGAGAGGAATTTAAAAAATAAACTTAAAAAACAGCACACTCAGTTTACCTCACTAAATAGGCTATGAGTTCACTTATACTTCTTCTTCTCCAGAAGGTTAAAGCTACATTCAGTCTCAGATTTCTACTAAAAAGAACTTGTGCCATAGTATCATGGTCCTGAGAAACCTGTATTTAAGAAACAAAAAGGTTTTCAAACTTAAATATTGGTTAGTTATTGCACAATGAATTCCTGCAATACAATAAAGGCTATTACACTGACAGTTTTTCTAAACAAATAGTGACAAATCTTATTTGTGTAGAAGGAATTTTAAATTTTTGTAATACAGGTAAATTAAGTAATCTTCAGATGCAGGGGTCCAAAACACTAAGCATTTTTTTTAAACCAATAACAGCTCATAAGCATCCCTTTAATAAAAAATATGCAACACAAATAGATTTATTACTCTGTTCCATAATTTTCAAAAATGGGTGCCTAAAGTTAGGTATCCAAGTAAGTGACCTGACATTCAGAGGTGTCAAGCACCTGCAAATCTCTCAGACTTCCATGGGAGCTGCTTGATGTCCAGCAATTTTGAAAAAAGTCATTGTACTTATTTAGGTGTCTAAACAAGGATTTAGGAGCCTATTTAAGAACTCATTACAGAAAATCTTGTCCCTGTACTGTATTTTAAACCTATACATTCTGTTATGTACCTAAATACAATACATCTTTGACTGTAACAAGAGAGAAACACTTTGGAAGATATTTACTGCATTACATCATCCACATCTCTGAATACATGTTCACTTAGGAAGTAATGCAGAGAATCTACACAAATATAAAGGGCAGCATTCAGCATTTAAGTGATTTTAATTATGGTTTTCTTTCAGGTCACTCATGAAAATTTATTATGGCATACATGTTATCTGGCCTTCTGAGCCAATTACAAGAAGTAACACTGCACGCCTTCACAGGGCTTGGTCAAATACTCCTGTGAAGTATCTGCTTCCCACCCACTCATTCCCTGGCAGAAATTTACTTCCAAAACACTGCCTTTAACGTTCACTTCTTTTATTGGTACATGAGTTAAGAATAATTACAATCTCTTTAAAAACATCTGCAGCTAACTTAAAACCAAAATGAAAATAATGGACTGAGGTGATTGGCATCAACTGTATTCAAAGAAAAACTTTTGCAAAACTTGACTTACCTCTGAAAAAAATCCACTGTATTTTGATGAGGGACCTTGTGTTTGAGAGGAGCCAGAATCACTGGTATTTAATAAAAGCGTATGACTGTCGTGTAGTTTTGCCGGCAGATTACCTGCACAAGCCAGTTCATTTTCCTTATTTGCCATGTCACGGCCCCTGACTTTAGGGAACTGTTTTTTTCTGTAACAATGTTTTGGAGTATAACAGTGAACTTTTTTTTTACAATATACTACTTTGAAAAGAAAAGGGGAGCTGGTCACAGTTTGTCCAACTGTGGTTCTGCAACGAGAGAATATTCATGAGAAATCAAGTAAAATATTATGTATAATTCAGTCATTAAACACTAAGATATTTTAATGGATTTAAGCCTTAAACCTAGAGATTATTTTAATCAAATGATTTTATTTTCCAAAACCAGTAATTTGCTCTCTTTCTGAAGCTTAAAGACTTTAATTAGGTCATTGGCATAGTGACAACTTCTGTTAATATCCATCCCTGTATTTATCTGAAGGCTCATCTCTATTCCAGGAATGAGAATACTTCAGGCAACAAAATTGAAGGGTTGATTTATGCCCTCAAAGCAGAGTTCCTATTTTGGAACTATTTTGGATGGCTTTCCCTTTGGTATGGCAGAAAGCTCCCAGGAAAGAACTTAAAATCCTCCCCAACAATGGAGTTGTTGACCACTACTATTCCTATAAGCTTTTGAAGGACCTGATATAGAAGTACAAGGATCCCAAATAATTTCTTGTTTTTATTAGTATTTTTAAAACATCAAAACATTAAAACACAAAGATCCAAGAAACAGTTCTAAAAAGTGATGGTTTTGCCCCTTTTCCCCCTCAGATTCTGTCCCCCAGATTCCAAACAGTAGCTCTCCTACCTGTTTGTGTAAGAAGCCAACTGTTTTGGAGATTTCTTACCCTATGGAAAAACAGTATTATAAGAAGGCTTAAGAAACAATTCCACGGTTTAACAGAATACCCCCACTTTTATTGCTTTACTAATGTTTTTCACCCCCCAACTGAGTATAGCAGTGGCCTTTGTTAACTTTTTCCACTGGCTTGTATCTGTGAAAGATGCATAGGTTTGAAAAGGTGTAGCTGCCCCTCCACAGTTATCCTATGAGCAGCTTGTTCAGAGATTGGATTGTGATGTCTTTGGTGAGTGGTAGGATTGTGACATCAGAGATAATTTCCCTTTTTACAAGTGTGGTGGAGGAATGTGATCAATATAAATTCTTTAAATTTGGTAGTGAGATTGTGATAAAGAAAAGTCACCTATATCAAATTAATTTACAAGCCACAAACCTTTTCAATATATTGGTTGTCAGGATTGGGTAAGGATGGAGGCATAAAGACAAAACATACCAGTTTATAGCTAGTTGTATACACTATAATCTTGATTATTCTAGCTTCACCTATCTGGAACAAGTTCATGTACCAACATTCATACATTGCATAAGTATGGATAATCAAAGGAACTGCAAATATCCTTCAACACTAAATCAAGATTTTGCTGTATAGATTAAACAAACCTTTTAAAAATTAAGCATATAAATGTTTGAAGATAACTAATCTTCATTACAAAAACCTTTAATATGAAAATCACATTCTTGACAGTAATTTTCTCATTTAAAAATTAACTTGTGAACTCCTACTTTATTTTAATATTTGGAATTTCTAGCCAGTAGAGATTTTTAAAGAGGATGAAGGTTCCAGAGTGATAAAGATTAATATTTTCATATGAACAGGTATTGTGTTCATAAGACTTGCAAAACTATATAAAGATTGTCCAATTGCTTTAATATTCTATTTAAATCTATTGCTCATGTTAAAGTCTTCAGGAATTTTGTGGATATATTCAATTTAAATTTAAAATTTATGTTAACATCCACTACATGAATGATTAGTTTGCAGCAAGCTGTGGTGTGAATATACCATACCCTAGCCTGGTGTGGACTAACAGTCCCTGTGGATCCTGGTGACATGCATTAACAGTTCAAGAGTGTGCTCTGAACTAGGGCTGTTGATTAATTGCAGTTAACTCATGCGAATAACTCAAAAAAATTATTTGCAATTAAAAAAAATAATCACAGTTTTAATGGCACTGTTAAACAGAATACCAATAGAAATTTATTAAATATTTTTGGATGTTTTTCAACATTTTCAAATATATTGATTTAAATTACAAAGTGTACAGTACTCACTTTATATTATTTTTATTACAAATATTTGCACTGTAAAATGATAAACAAAAGAAATAGTATTTTTCAATTCACCTCATACAAGTACTGTAGTGCAGTATCTTTATCGTGAAAGTGTAACTTACAAATGTAGATTTTTTTTGTTACATAACTGCACTCAAAAACAAAACAATGTAAAACTTCAGAGCCTACAAGTCCACTCAGTCCTACTTCTTATTCAGCCAACTGCTAAAACAAACAAGTTTGTTTACATTTACGGGAGATAGTGCTGCGCTTCTTATTTACAATGTCACCTGAAAGTCAGAACAGGTATTCACACTGCAGTTTTGTAGCTGGCATTGTAAGGTATTTACGTGCCAGATATGCTAAACATTCATATGCCCCTTCATGCTTCCAGAGGACATGCTTCCATGCTGATGACACTTGTTAAAAACAAAAACAAACAAAACAAAACAAAAAAAAAACCAGTTACCTTTTCTGTAACTGGTGTTCTTTGAGATGTGTTGCTCATGTCCATTCCATATTAGGTGTGTGTGCTTGCCACATGCACTGGTGCCGGAAGTTTTTCCCATAGCAGTATCCGTAGGTGACTGGCTCTGGCGCCCTCTGCAGTGGTGCCCTCATGGCGCAATATAAGGGGCGCTGCTGGCTCACCCCACCCTCAGTTCCTTCTTGCCAGAAACTCGGATAGTGGGGAAGGAGGTTCAAGGACGATGAGTTGTGGAAAGGACATGAGCAACACATCTCGAAGAACATCAGTTACAGAAAAGGTAACTGTCTTTTCTTCTTCGAGTGCTTGCTTATGTCCATTCCATATTAGGTGACTCCCAACCAGTACCCCTGGAGGCAGGTAGGACTTCATGGACATGTAGATTGCAAAACAGCTCTGCTGAACCCGTCGTTGTCTCTGGCCTGCTGAGTGATGGCATAATGTGCCATGAACATGTGGACAGAGGACCACGTCGCGGCTCTACAGATGTCCTGGATAGGGATGTGTGCGAGGAAGGCGGCTGAGCTCTAGTCGAGTGGGCTCTGATAATCGGCGGTGGCGGGACCCCCACTAGATCATAACAGGTCCGTATGCAAGGGGTGATCCAGTTGGAAATCTTCTGTGAGGACACCGGAAGGCCCTTCATCCTATCTGCTGTGGCAATGAAGAGCTGAGTCGATTTATGGAAAAGCTTGGTACGCTCTAGGTAAAAAGCCAGGACCCTTCAGACATTCAGGGCGTGCAGCCACCTCTCCTCACTGGTTTTGTGTGGCTTAGGACAAAAACACCACGAGGAAGATGTCCTGGTTCATACGGAAAGTAGATACCACTTTCCACAGGAAGGCCAGGTTGGGCCTCAACTGGACCTTGTCCTTGTAGAAGACTGTGTATGGCAGTTCTGAAGTCAAGGCTTTAATCTCAGAGACTTGCCTTGCTGATGTCACTGCCACCAGGAAAGTGACCTTCCATGACAGGTGGGAAAGGGAGCAGGATCCCAGCAGCTCAAAGGGTGGGCCTGTGAGCCTGGAGAAGACCCAAGTTAAGATCCAACTGTGGGACAGGGAACTGTACCTGCGGAGAGAGTCTCTCGAGGCCTCTCAAGAATCTGACCGTCACATCATGAGAAAACACCATTTGGCCCTGGATTGGCGGGTGAAAAGCAGAGATGGCCGCGAGATGCACTCTAATGGAAGAGTGTGCCAGGCCCTGGTTCCTCAGATGAAGCAGGTAGTCAAAGATAGATTGTATGGAAGAGCATGAGGGAGAGATGCCATGCTTGGACGCCCAGCTGGAAAACCTCGTCCATTTGGCCAGGTAAGTCAGTCTGGTTGAGGGCTTCCTACTCCCCAGGAGGACCCGCTGGACTTCATCTGAGCAGGTCCGCTCCTCCATATTTAGCCACACAGCATCCACGCCAAGAGGTGGAGGGACACGAGGTTGGGGTGCAAGAGCCGACTGTGGTCCTGTGACAGCAGGTCCGGTCGGTTGGGCAGGGGCTGCTGCCAGGTTCATGAGCATGCCGAACCAGTGCTGGCGAGGCCAGGCCGGGGCGATCGTGATAACCAGCCTCGGCAGGACCAGCCCCACAAACGACCCAAGGGCTATAAGTGCCACCCCAGCCACCCGCCTCCGCCCTCTGCTCAGTCGGGCTTGACCCGTAACAAGCAAGGGGCCAAATGGTCATTTTGAGGGTGCACCTGAGGGCGGCCTACCAGACTTTTCTCCGGATCCATCTTTCCCGGTGTTCTCCAACTGCCTTTCCCTCCTCCTCCCTGCCTGGAGGGCTATAACTTCGGACTGCTGGGTCCACAGTACAGTGGAGCAGGGTTATACCCTGCAGTTCCTTTCTACCCAGCCTTCCCACCCACCTTTCCCATCCCTCTTCAGGGACCCCTCTCATGAGAGTCTCCTCGCGCAGAAAGTAAAGGGGTTGCTGCAACTGGGTGCGGTGGAAGAAGTTCCTCTCAAGTACAGGAACAAGGGGTTCTATTCCTGGTATTTCTTAATCCCAAGGGCGGTCTGTGACCCATCCTGGATCTGAGAGACCTCAACAAGTACCTAAAGAAGCTAAAGTTCTGCATGGTCTTCCTGGCTTCTATCATCCCCTCCCTGGATCCAGGAGACCGGATGGACGCAACTTGAGGGATGCATACTTCCACATAGCGATCTTTCAAGGTATAAAGGGAGTTGTATGGGCCCGTGGTGCCCGGGCTCCAGCAAATTCAGGGCCTGGGGGGACAGGCTCCACCAATGTTTGGGGCTGGGTCTCTCCCCCACCCCCGCGCACCTCGCCCTAAGCATCCCCTGGCCCCACCTGCAGCCCCCGTGCGCCTCCCCCGAGTGTCCCTGCCTGCCCTGGCTTGCCCCCAACCCGCTCCTTTCCCTTACGGGGAGTAGGAGATCGTCCCCTCACATTCTTCTTCGGCTTCATGACCATGGAGGGAGACCAGGGCTGGCTTGTGGATGGCGCTGGCGGAGTGGCAACAGTGCTTGGTGCGGAGTTGGACTGCCCAAGTGAGTGCCGACTCCATTAGGAGTGCCATTAGATAAGTTTCACGCGCCTTTTTCATTCTAGGTTTAAAGGACTTGCAGATACGACACTTGTCGCTTACGTGCCCCTCGCCTAAGCACCTTAGGCAGCTGGTATGTGGATTGCTGACGGACATAGGCCGTTTACAGTGAACGCAGGGCTTAAAGCCTTGGGATTGGGGCATGCCCTGTCCCCCAGCTGAGTCCTGTCCGGGACTACGAAGACTTAAAAAACTACTACTGGGGTAACTAACTGTAACAGTAACTATCTACAACTATACTACAAGTTCTACAGAGTTTGTGTGAACAGAGAACGAGACAAGACAATGCTAGCCGAAGCAGCAGATGTTCCAGCACCGTCACTGGCAGCAAGAAGGAACTGAGGGTTGGGGGAGCCGGTGGCGCCCTTTATACCGCGCCATGTGCCACTCCAGAGGGCACCACAGCCAGTCCCCTATGGATACTGCTAAGGGAAAAACTTCTGGCACCGGTGCAAGTGGCGAGCACACACGCCTAATATGGAATGGACATGAGCAAGCACTCGAAGATGAATTAATTAATTAATTACATTTTGACTGAGCTCCTTGGGGGAGAATAGAATGTCTCCTCCCCACATTCTGTATTTAATATTATAGCAGTCTCAGATGATGACCCAACATACGTTGTTCGTTTTAAGAACACTTTCACAACATATCTGACAAAACTCAAAGAAGGTACCAATGTCAGATTTCTAAAGATAGCTACAGCACGTGACCCAAGGTTTAAGAATTTGAAGTGCCTTCCAAAATCTGAGAGGGATGAGGTATGGAGCATGATTTCAGAAATCTTAAAAGAGCAACACTCCGATGCAGAAACTACAGAACGCAAACCACCAAAAAAGAAAAATCAACCTTTTTCTGATGGCATCTGACTCAGATGATGAACATGAACATGTGTTGGTCTGCACTGCTTTGGATCGTTATCAGCATATCCTTGTTCCCATAAGCTACCCTGCCACTGTCCTCAAGCTCCTCATTACTCTTATTAAAAACTGAGGCAAAGTATTTGTTTAGGGGTTGGGCCATACCTAGATTATCTTTCATCTCCACCCCATCCTCGGTGCTTAGTGGTTCCACTTCTTTCCTTGTTTTCTTTTTTTTAAACTATTGATTTTAATTTCATTTGCAAGGTCCAGCTCTACGTGGCTTTTGGCAGTTCTCAATTTCTCTCTACACTTTCTGGCCTCCAAGAAGTAGCTTTACCTGCTGATCCACACCTCCTTCCACTCATTGTTGGCATTCTGCTTTCTCTTGTTTGAGATGTTTGTTCATCTAGGTTGATCAGCAACCCTACCCTATAAATATTTTTCCCTTGTTTGGGATGCAGGCTCCAGATTAGTCTCTGCAACTTTCAATCAAAATTGCTGAAACTAAATGCTAAGCCTCCTCCACATTCAGATCCTTGAGTTCTTCAGTCCAGTCCACTTCCCTAACTAATTCCCTTACATTTTTAAAGTTTGCCCTTTTGAAATCAAGGACCCTAGTTGCAGTCCTATATTTATCCTTCCATTTAGTTTAAATCAAATGAATTCAAGATCACTTGAACCAAAGATGTCCTCACTACTTACCAATATTAAATCTAAAATGGCATCACCTCTTGTTGATTTGGTGACTATTTAGTGAACAAAGCTGTTGGCTAGCACCTCCAGCAATATCTGGGCTCTACCATTAGTAGCACTTGTCCTCCAATCTATATCTGGGAAATTAAAGTCTCCCATAATTACACAATTCCCACTAATATTTTTTCATTAAAATATTAAAGTTCTAACCATATCCAGATTGGATACTGGGGGTCTGTAGCAAACCCCAAGCACTATCCCGGGGGAGGCTCTTCCTTTTTCTTCCACAAAGTGATTTTGTCCCAGACTCTGTTTTACCCATTCCATCACTTATAATTTCTCTACAGTCTACCTAGTCATTAGTATACAATGCTACTCCACCACCTTTACTTTTATTTCTGTCTTTCCTGAAAGCACATACTCTTCAATACCTATATTCCAATCATGACTGTCCACTGTTTCTTCATTATCCCTATATCATCTGGTTTCATTTCCTGCAGTCACTTTACTGACAGTATCTTCTACCTGTTATGGTTATTGGTACTGGCACCATCTTTCCTCTGTTGTCCATTCTCCTACCACGTGTTGTTCCTTTTTCCATTGTTGTATCCTTTGTTACTTGATTTTCCTCCTGCTCAATATTAGAATCAGGTGTGGAGACTGCATGAACATCTCCCCCAAATTCCTAGGTTAAAGCTCTTTTAAATCGGTTGTGCCTCTCAATGGCAGAACATCCCTAAGCTCTCCTTATAGCACCAATGCCTGAACTACTGACAGGTTGATAGTCTTATCTCGCTTACGCTCTCTTTCTCCAGGGACAGATAGAATCCCACTGAAATTTAACTGAGCTTCCACTTCTTTAAGTGACTTCCCCAGCCTGGTGTAGTCTTCTTTGATGTATCCCAGGGAGACTGTAGCAGGCTCCTTTGTTTCCATCTGAAGGATAAGCAATGGATTCTTTCCTGCTCCCATTAGGATCCTCTTCAGACTCAGGTCCACATCTTAGATCCCAGCAGACAACACACCCTTCTTTTCTCCAGATCAGCTCTGGTGACAAGCCTGCCTCCTCTTCTTAGTAGGCAGACCCCAGTCATGTAGACCTGCCTCTTCCTGGTGTTGGTGCAATTCTCTGGCCTTCCACCATTTGTTCTTTCTGGATGCAGTCTTCTTGTCTTCTGTTCTTACTTACAGTCTTCAAGTCATCCTCTATTCTCCTGGGGTTACAAACTATGTCTCTCTTCTTGTAGGACTAGCTACTCTTCTCTTCTTTCTTGCTCTCTCATCTTCTGTTACTGCCTGCTGTGCCCCTTCATTTTCCAGGTCAGCACAACTGTTCGTAGCTCTATTTCTCCTTCACTAACAGGTATTTTCCTCTGCCTTGTTCTCATAGTCACATACATCCACTGGCCACTTTCCTCATCCAGCAGTCTACCCTCATAGTTCTATGGTCCAGCATGCATCTGCAAGTCTTGTGTTTTCCCTTCAGCCTCTTCTCTCCTTCCCTTCATCATCTGCTCAAATCCCCTTAAAAACTCAACCATGGAGATTCAGCTAGAAACTAACCCTTAGATATTCTCTTCCATTGCATGTATCAGGTGGCACTGGATACAAATGAAGCACCTTTCAGGTACCCTCTCCAGAATAATGTACATCCTGCAACTTCCATGTAGTCATTTTCATAGTCTCTTCATTTCAGTATAATTGATACACCTCTACCCCGATATAACACTGTCCTTGGGAGCCAAAAAATCTTACCGCGTTATAGGTGAAACTGCATTATATCGAACTTGCTTTGATCCGCCGGAGTGCACAGCCCCACCCCCCAAGCACTGCTTTACCATGTTATATCCGAATTCATGTTATATCGGGGTAGAGGTGTATTCCCCTTTTGTGTCCAGCTTGAAGAGCGTGGTGGAACATATCTCAGTGTTTGGGTGAGATGATGTCAGGAAACTGGTTGAGACTCAGTCCAGATGAGACTACAAAGGATTACGGTGGTTTGGGAAAAAACTGCCAGATGATGTCTCAGGTGATGCCCACTTTCCTAGTTGAAGACTTATGTCTGTAATGTGTTATACAAGTTTTTGACATGGGGTCTGTTTGGATTCCCAGCTGCTTTTAGATTATCAAATTGCAGCAGTAACCAGAGGACTGCTTTCTTCCAGGCAGGTCCAGATGCTGACTTTGCTGTCAATGCCTCTCTCATCTCTAGATTTAACTATTGCAGAACCCTAGATAGTGCTGCATCTTAGAGCTATTCAGAAACTGAAGTTACTGTACAATGTGGTGGCAAACTTGTTTAAGCTCCATGGTTTGCACTGGTACCTTTTGGCTTCTAGGTTTTATTTAAGGTGTTTTGGACCTACAAAGCCCTATCTACGAGACTGGTTCTCTTTCCATGCAATACTACCTTGATCAGTGGATGTGTTTAAGCTGGAGCTTTCTTGGTTTTATAAGAGTCTCCAGTGGTAGGAATCTCCACGAGGGCCCTCAGCTTTGGACTCACTCCCCCATCTTGGTGGGAAGCGCACAAATTTGTTGACCTTCATTTAATGTTACAAACCCCATCTTTTCATACAGACATCTGGGGAGGGCTGAGGTGACTGGGGCTTGGTTTCTTTTGACATTCTCAGCATAGGGAGATTTTGATTTTGTAATGGTGTCTTGTTGGAGAGCTGTTTTGTATTTGCTGCTTTTTTTGTTATGACTATATATATTATAATCTTGGGACAAAAATCTCTGCATCGATTTAAAGTTACAGCTAAATTAAACAGCATCAAATTTATAGTTTTAGGTAAATAAGTTTACCCGAGGAAATAGTAACAAAGTAAATAAACTTACCTCCTTCATGTTCTTATTAGTGGAATGAGAGATCCTTTTTCTGAGATCAATGTGACGACCCTTGGTATGCAACAGGTTCCATTTTCTAACATTGTGGGCTTCAGATGCCATAATCTCCTAAATCCCTAGTTTTCAAGACAATTTACAAATTAGGGAATTGAATTTTTAAATGTCAGTGAATTTTAAAAATTCATTTTTTTTACCTACAGATCTTAGAGATTGTTACGACAATTAAAAATAACTATACAAATCCACAAAACATACTGGGTAATTTACAAAATTTAGGGGTGCCATCATTTAGCAAACATTAAAATGAGGTCTTATCACTGGTGGCAGTCATTGAGAACATATGACTTTCCACCCTTTGTCTACTTTATTTGTAAGCATTTAGTGGGAGGAACCTTATCTAAGGCACTTGGGAGACTGGTGCTGCCATACAAAACAACAAACTTTGGATAAACACCTTGCAACAATAAGTAATTAACAAAACTGCATGGCTAATATTTTATGAAAAAAGTGTTAATTTGATTTCAAACTTGATTTCAAGTTAATCATTTCTGCTACTAGCTCACAGGGCTATCATCTGGAAGAAAATCTAAACAATTCTACCAGGAAAGAAAAACACAGACAGCAATTGGATGCAAGAGATTCAGAAGGGAAGAAAGAACATCTAAGCTCTATGCAAGAGGGAAGACAAAATGGGGGGGGGGGGGGGGGGGGTGAGTGGAGGGGAAGGAGGAAGTTAGATAGGCTCAAAATGTAAGTCACCCATAACAAAGACCTACCCACATTTGGTAGGTAGGTGCCAGCTTCAAGTTCACTGATCTTTAAAATCTTTTCACTACTAGTTTTTAGCATGCAATATTAGGTTATAAATAGACACCGGGTAATGCCTTTCATTTAAAACCTATAGCTCCCCCCCCATACATTGCCTAGAAGAACATGCCCACTGTAAAGAGATGCAAGTATTTGTCAGTAATAAGTACAATAGCCAAACAGTTCTGTAGAAAGTGCTTACCAGGGATGTTTAAATTTTTACTTGCTGCATACAATATTACAGAAAAATGACAAGTTTATTATGAATAGGACACCACATCAAAGAAATCCATGAACCAGAGAATGTGGTATTTATCTACACACGGAAAATCCACTGCAGAAGAATGCATTCATAAGGTTACAATATCTTACAGTATGTTAGATACCAGCCCATAAGAAGAACTTTACTGTTTAAACAAACTGAAGTTCTAATGATTAAACAAACAAGTATTAAAAATATGATGGGAAATTAGTTTGTTATTTGTTCATAAAATATTACAATCACTATCTTTGTTAGCAGCTTCAACAGAGAAAGTTCAAGGAGGCTACTCTCCCCCTTCACCCTTAGAAGGCAGTCTGTAGATCAAGGGGTGGCAAACTACGGCCCAGGCCCACCAGCCATTTTAATCCGGCCCTCGAGTTCCCGTTGGGGAGCAAGGTCGGGGGCCGCTCTGCATGGCTCCTGCAAGCAGCGGCATATCCTCCGTCTGGCTCCTACGCCTAGGGGCAGCCAGGGGGCTCCGCTCCGCATGCTGCCCCTGCCCCAAGCGCCGCCCCAGGACCTGCGACCAATGGGAGCTGCAGGGGAGGCACCTGCAGACAGGTCAGCGCGCAGCAGAAATGTCTGGCCTCGCCTCCGTGTAGGAGCCAGAGGGGGATGTGGCATGCTGCTGCTTCCAGGAGCCGCTTGAGATAAGCGCTGCCTACAGCCTGCACCTCTGAGCCACTCCACCGCGCCCCAACCCCCCTGCTGCCCTCCGAAACCCTTGATCCCAGCCCGAAGCACCCTCCTGTACCCCAAACCCCTCATCCCCAGCCCCAACCCAGAGCCCGCAGCCCCCGCTGCAACCTGAACTCCTCATTTCTGGCCCCACCCCAGAGCCTACACCCTCAGCCAGAGCCCTCACCACCTCCCACGCCCCAATCCCAATTTCGTGAGCATTCATGGCCTGCCATACAATTTCTATACCCAGATGTGGCCCTCAGGCCAAAACGTTTGCCCACCCCTGCTGTAGATGATGGTTGAAATGCTGTGGCAAGGTAGGCTGGTGACGTTTGGACTTCTACTGTTTGCACTGTACCCATTCTAGAGATAAATTGAGATCTGTGTCTGGCACCTTTCACTAGCATTAAATTAAGACTAGCCTCTGCTGTAATGACTACAAACCCATGACAGCTGACAATATGTGGGCAGGAGGTGAGCTGTGACTACTGCTTACTGTGGAAGAAACTTGCTCGTTTCACTGTTAGATGTGAACATAAGCATCTTTGTTCCTTATGTAATCTATTCCTGACAGTATTCTTTCACATAAATGGTGTAATAAAATGAGCAATAATTAGATACTACTATTAAACAGAATATTTAAATGCAGTGCCTTTTACATTACCTGTTACGTAAATGTATATGTAATTTGCAAAAATTAAAGATATAAGAAAGCCACCAGTGGCACAGTTAGAAATTAATGCCCTACAGCATAAACCTAATTAAGTAGTCTTAAATCAATCATAAGTATATTATATGCTGATCAATAAAATAATAATAAAAACAACACACAAGCTCTGTGAAAGCTGTTGATACAATAGCACAGGGGTCGGCAACGTTC